CCTTCTAATTATGTTAACTCTGATATCTATCCCTTTGATTTCATTGCATCTGAGCCACATGATTATTCAAACTCCATCCCCACCGTTGATTTTTCGCTACTCACATCCACTGATCCTCATCAACGGTCTCAAGCTATCAACAATCTTAATAAAGCTTGCCAAGATTGGGGATTTTTCACGGTACACTATAATATGTTTTTATATTATTATTATTTTTTGGTGAGAAACTATGAAACTAAGAATATTGCACATAGTTGTTAGTACTTCTTTTGTCCTAATTTATGTAAAGACGTTGAGTTGATTTCATAATGGTTAATTATTATGTCAAAAAATCATGCTTCTTTTTTATAATCATTTTCTTCAAAAAAAAAATTTGATTTTCTGATATAATAATTGTTAGTTGATTGATTGGGCAAGGGGATAATTTGAGGATGATACTTATGGCTCTAAAACAAGTCATACATATTTATGTAGCTATGACTCATTTCAGTAAAAGTGAAATTGAATTAAATTGTTACAATATGCTAAATATAAAAAAGTGTCATTTTTTTTCTAAACAGACTAAAAAGAAAAAAGAAAAATATCGTATACCTAAATATGTTTCATGGTGAAGGTGGTTAACCATGGGATACAAGAAAGTTTGATGAAGAAAGTGATTGATGGTACTCAAGAATTTTTCAATTTAAGAGAGGAAGAGAAGAAAGAATTTGAAGGGAAACATGTTTTGGATCCTATAAGGTATGGGACAAGCTTCAATACCTCTAAGGAGAAAGCTTTCTTTTGGAGGGATTATCTTAAGGTGTTTGTGCATCCAAAGTTCCACTCTCCTAGCAAACCCGATCAATACAGGTATACCAGGAATCTTAATAGCTCAGTTTGTTGATTGTACTTACGTATAACCATTATATATTATTATTATTTTATTTCTCTTTTTTTTTTAATAGTGATATTATGTGGGAGTATTGTCAGAAAGTTAGACAAGTAACAAAAGTATTACTTGGAGGAATATCACAAGGTTTAGGACTTGAAGAATGTTATTTGGAAAAAACTCTAGAGATGAAGTCAGGATTTCAAATTTTTATTGCAAATTATTACCCATGTTGTCCTCAGCCAGAACTTGCACTTGGTATGCCACCTCATTCAGATCATGGCCTTTTAACTCTAATTATTCAAAACCAAGTTGGAGGATTACAAGTTCAACATCAAGGCAAATGGATTCATGTCAATGCACTACCTAACTCTCTCTTGGTCAATACCGGCGACCATCTCGAGGTAATTCAATTGATTGACTATCTGAATTGTAATTACCTCGTTGGAAAGGGTTCGATTCTCCACCTTGTATTCCCCTTAAATTGATAATAGATAAAAATTTAAAAATATGTATTGATTAGTATTCTTACAATTGTCATAGGTTAAACTAGATTGATCATAAAAAATAAAATTGTACGCTATCAGTCTAAGTAATTTTAGGGAAAGAAGTCTGAAATATATTCGAACATTGACCAAAATTGTTGTAACAATCCCAAACTTTGGGCAAGACCTATTATCCCATGCACTATTTAATAGTGTATTTTAAAGATATGTAAATGTCCAACTGGACAAGTTACTATTTATAATGATGCAATATTTATGATATCCACGTGGGCACCTATATATCTTTAAAATACACTATTAAATAGTGCAGGGGTAATAGATTCTGCCCAAAGTTTGAGATTGTTACAACAATTTCAATCAAAGTTCGGATATATTTTGAACCTTTTTCCCTAATTTTTACACTATCAAGTCATGATGTTCACCTATTGTAGGATGTAACATGTAACATTTTTTATTTTCAAGATTTTAAATTCCACATTTGATTCATTAATGGAGAATTTCAGTAAATCAATTGGTTGACTTTCTGAATTGTCACCTAATTATATGTGTGTTTCTATTGCTTGGTAGATTTTTAGTAATGGGAAGTACAAGAGCAATGTACACAAAGTAGTGGTGAACAACACAAGTCCAAGAATATCAGTAGCTGTTGCTCATGGACCATCACTAGAAGCAATTGTAAGTCCTGCTTCCCCATTGGTACAAAGTGAAACCAATTATATACCAATGAAGTACAAGGATTACATGGAGATGCAACAAAGTAATCAACTTCACCAAAAATCCATTTTGGAACAAGTCAAAACTCAAAGGAACTGATTATTTTTTCCCTAATATAAATTGGGAAATATTTATGTAATAATGTTAGAATCTTAATGTACTGATGCTTATTATTGAATCCATTACATTTGTGTGTTATATGATTTCATTATATAAAAACAAGGGTGACATTCAAAATTGCAACAATTATAAGAGTATCAAGTTGCTAAGTCATACAATAAAAGTTTGTGACAGGGTGGTGGAGATGAAGGTAATATGATGAGGAGGGGTGTGACTATATATTTTCGTGAACCAGTTCAGATTTATATCGAAACTTTCCAGTTTTGATGGAGTTGCACTAAGGATCAACCCTTAGCTTGTTTTGTATACTAACTGAATACTTTCTAGAAAATAAGTATGTATATATTTTAGATTATTTTAGGTATATATGTTGTCCGATTAAAAATAAAATTGAATATAATAAATAGATAACCCCTAGTACCCCTTAAATTTATCAATATATATATACACTTGAATTATAGCTCATATATTTAAATTATTAAATATATGAGAAATATTTATTGAAAATGCAAGGTAGAAATGAAACTTAAATAAAGTTTCTTTCTTAACACATGCATTTGTCTAAAAAAAAAAAAAAGCAGTGTAACATCACTTTCATGGTTAGCTATTCAATCTTCTAGCTGACTTCCTTTGAATTTGAATTTGAATTATATACTTGATGCTTCTATATAGTAAAAATAAATTAAAAAAATGTGGGATGTGTGTCTCAAATATGTCCAAGTCTCTTCATTGTCCATTTTGTACTCCATAACAGCTATATATATATATATATATATATATACTTGTCCAGTTGCAATTATAAAGTAGTAATTCAGGGTGTATATGGCCGGGTTGGTTTGGGTTTTTCAAATATCAAACCAAACTATTTGTGTTGGATTTTTAAATTTATAAACCAAACCAAACCAATAAAACTCGGGTTTTTCAACCTCGGGGTTTTTCGGGTTTTTCTGTTAAAGTATTATACAAACATATAATTTACTTGTACTTCAAATATTTCTTTAGTCCTATCAAAATACAACTATCTAAGGTGTTTCTTAAGAAAATAACACAAAATATGATATGATTAATGACACTAAAATATCCAACAAAAAAAATAATAATGAAATCACGTAAAACAAATATTGCAAATTAATAAGTCATAATAGAAAAATGATCATAATTTAAAAAGTACTAAATAATGCTAAAATAAGTTAATAAGTAATTAGTTACATGACTAAATATTAAAGGAAATTAAAATTAGATTATGTATTTTAGTGTCTAAAACCAATGTAAAACTAAAGAACAAATATTCAATATTATTGTCATTCTTAGTGTTGACTTGATTTTCTTTTTTGCATTAGTATTAATTTGATTTTGATTTTAAGCTTTATTATAATTACCAACATCTATGGACTATAATCTTTATTGGACCATTTCATTATTCTAAGTTTCAAACTTGAAATAATATATTAAAAGATAAAAGCTATGAAAAAATATAAGAAATATTTAAAAATTATATCAAAGTAAATATTTTTATGTATAAAATAAAAATTTAAAATTATCTATATAATGCCGGTTGATTTGGTCTCGGATTGTTTTTTTTTTAGTTAAAACCAAACCAACCCAAATGTAGTCATTTTTTTTTCAATACCAAACCAAGTCTAACCAAACTACTAGTCGGGATTTTTTTCCGATTTGACTTGATTTGCGATTTGGTTCGATTTTCGATTCGATTTTGTACACCCTACTAGTAATAATAGTTGTTGAGAAATTGAAGGAAGAGTGAAGTAGTTTACTTAACAATATTATCTTTGACGGTAAAAGTTTCACGGGTATTTTATTTAGATATCGATATTTAATCTGTATTTATTTTTTAAAATTCTTTTGGTACGTTTATTAATTTCAAAATTACTCTAGCTATGTTGCATCTTATGTGGTATTTGAAGTTACATGTATTTAAAATTCAGACGTTAATTTTTGCCACAAATTTGAATAAAAGTAACTCTACCTTGGCTATATGTTTGTTTTTTTGCACTAGAGAAGATGCACCTGTCCAATGTACTAGATAGAGAATTTCATTAGATCGCGATGTACGTATTATAAAGTTGACGAAGTAACGAGTTAAATGAAAAGTGGCTAAAGCTATAGACGAGTCAATATTCAATCAGGGGCGGATCCACCCTTGGCCAAGAGGTGTCAAGTGACACTCCTTCGCCGGAAAATTACATTAGGTCAAATTTTGGTTTAATAAATATATATAAATCTATTAAACAAGTGAAAAAAGTTTAGTGTAGTGATTAAGGGGTTGAAAAAGTTTCGAAATTTGAGTCGAAAGTGTCTAATGTATAGGAACATTTATCTAGTATTAAAGTGCTCAATCAAAATAATTCATAATTCGAGTGTCTAAATAAAATGTACTAGCAACTGTAAAATGCTATCGTTTTATTCAACCAAAAAGTCATGGATTCAATAAGGTAGATCTAGCATGGTTGGAGCTTCATTGTCCATACAATGTTGCAATAATTTTTACATAGATATTGTATTTATATTGAAAATATTATTAAATATATAAGAACTATTTATTGAAAATCAAATATCAGCCATATATGTCACAAATATGTCCAAGTCTCTTCATTATCCATTTAGTATCCCATAACAGCTAAAGACGAGTCAATATTCAACGAAAAGTTATTCTTGATGTGATGTGTTAAAGATAAATATATATTTTAATAATTAAAAAAGTGACCCCTCTCTAGACAAATATCTTATAAAGAACTTTAGTTTCCTAATTAGAATAAAGGGTCCCTAAAAAAAAGTAACATATTATTGTCTTACCATTTTCTTTTATAGTCGCAACTATTATCATAGCTTACGATACTTCTAAATATGGCTGAAAAATTCAGTTTCAACACTCAAATCTTTGGTAGAGTCCGCCTCGCTACGAAATCGGACGTGCCACATCTCCACAAACTCATGTATCAAATGGCAAATTATCACAATTACACTAAAGTTTTTAATGCCACGGAAGCTTCCGTTACTACCAATCTTTTCAAATCCGATAATCCATGCCCTCCTTTCTACTCCGTTACCACGTTCATTCTTGAAGTCTCACCTGACTCTTTTCCTCAAAATACCCCTAAAAATTCCATTTTCGACCCGATTTTGAAAACTGTTGATCTTGATTCACCTATATTAGACTCAGAACTAAAACTGTTTAGAATAAACAACAACATATTCAATACAGTCTCACAAGTGGATAAACCCTTATCTTGTGAAGGTAGAGAAGTTGCTTCTAATAGACCCTCGACTCAAGAACTGTTCAGAACAAACAACAACATATCCAATACAGTCTCACAAGTGGATAAACCCTTATCTTGTGAAGGTAGAGAAGTTGCTTCTGATAGACTCTCGACTCAAGAACTGTTCAGAAGTACTAGTAATGAAGATAATAACGTCTTCATAGCTGGCTATGTTCTTTTTTACCCTTGCTATTCGGGTTACTTTGAAAAGCCTGGTTTTTTTATTGAGAACATGTTTGTTAGGGAGTGTTATAGAAAGTGTGGATTTGGGAAAATGTTGTTTTCTGCTGTGGCATCTCAGGCAAATAAAATGGGGTTTACTAAAGTTGATTGGCTTACTGTTGGATGGAATGAAAATGCAATTGATTTTTATCTTGGAATGGGGGCTTATATTATGCAAGATGTCAAACTCTTTAGGCTTTCTGGTGAAGGACTTGATGCATTTGATACAAATGATCAAGATGGTGGTGACAAGGTTTGAGTAGGGGGTCTATCGAAACAGTCTCTACCTCATAGAGAAAAAATTTGCGCACATTCATTTTCTCTATGCTCTAATTATGAAATCACACGAGATATGTTATTGTTAATGGAGATGATGACAAGTTTAGAGAGAACAATTATAAGTACATAAAAAAATCTTTGTCAGCGGAATTCTCCCTTCTATCCATCAACTATTTCATTATAAAACTTTCTCCCCGAGCTGCGGCACTAACAAGTCTATTAGAAAGTCTAATTAATTAGCCATTTTTACATGAATTTTCAAGTGGATGAAATAGGTCGAGTGGTCTCAGTTGGGGATGGGTATGAAAGAGTCCACCGCCTGCCTTAGTAGTCTCAAATAAGGTGTGCATGCCTGCTTTCTAAGTGGATTGGTTCGAATTTTTCATTTATCAAATTAAATAATGTCGGGTTAATATCTCCAAATCAAATAAAAAAAGTGTTTTACATGTTTTTCCCAACTTAGTAGAAGTATTAAAAACTTTACAAGATACAATCAATTACAACATAAAGCTTATGCTTTACTTAATCTTCTATTACCCCAATGTGGTAAGTGAAGGAGTTAAAAAGGGACGAAGTAGACCTAAAATCATAGACTTCACTAAAGATAGGCTACTAGGAGGATATGTTTTAGACTCAGTATAATTTTTTTGTTATTATCAATTTATTATTAGTATTAGTATTACGAATATTTTTCCTATTTCAGCTTGACAATGATCTTCTACTATAAGATGATAATCCATTGGCATATTCTAAGGTGATAATATGTAATATACCTTTACACATATGGTGTGTTTGGTAGAGACTTAAAAAATAAGTAGGTTAGCTTACACAATTTTTTTTGTTTGATAAGTAAAATAATATTATCTCAAGAGTAACCTACATATTTTTATTGTTTGATAAAGAACAAGAACATTATTTTAAGAGTATTTATATGTTATCTAGCGAAATACTATGGGGTGAAATATGGTGTGGAGTGGGCTGCGGATTCAAGGGTTGGGATGATTAAGTGGAGGGATGTGGGGTATTGGACAATGTCACTTTGTAACTTATTTTTCCCTACTTTGATTAATCAAGTCATTTTCCTTATTTCTAAGTAACTTTCTTTTCCTAAAGAAAATATTTTTCGGTGTACCAAAACACAACCAAGTATCATATAATTAACATATACTTTGATAAGATAAGAACTACGATGTGTAGGATTTCCAACCAACTTACTATCTCAAAGAACAGTTTCAGATTACAACTCTATAATCGATTTAAGGAACCAGGTTCCTTATCCAAAATTCTGCTGGATGATAAATTTCAACCAAGAATTGGAGATTTTGGCCTAGCCAGGTTGTTAATTTCCCTCGAAGATCAAAAATATTTTAACACTACATTTGACTGAACACGAAATTCAAGAATAAAAGAAAAATTCAAATAGTAAATCCTAAGAAGAACCCAAATGTATTTTTATCATGTAAAAGAAATCGTCTTCGTCCTTGTTTTTCTCGTGTAGTATTTGGAGGCACAATATGTTCTTGATAAAGACAAATATGTTTTTTTAAGCACAATAAGTTTTCCATGGTGAGACTGAGACACCGATACTAAACATTATTTTAAATTTTAAAGTGTCTTACACTTTGATTTTGTCCTCATTTGCATCGAGAAACCGTTTTATAAACACTGAATCAAACCAAACTGATCTAGTTTGGTCAAGAATTCAGTGCACGCTTCTTAAAAACTAAACACTAAAGAACTGAACCAAAAAACCAAACGCCCAGCCCCATTCCTAGCTGGTGTAACTTTAATTATCTTCTCTCTCTATATATATATACCCGGTGTCCGGAGCTCACATTGGAGCCCCGACTAAATCAGGATCGCGCACTGCACAGCCCATTCGGGGGTGACGCTCCCAATAGAATTTTCTCCAACCCAGGCCAGGGCTCGAACCCGAGGTCTCGGGGGTGGCACTCCCAACATGATTTTCTCCATATTCGGGGCTCAAACTCGAAACCTCTGATTAAGGATGAAATACTCTCACCAATGCACCACAACCCACGTTGATTCCTATATATTTTATACCTAATCTAAAATTTGTGCTTACAAGGAGAAAAACAATACAAGAGTTGGACAAGAAAAAGGAAAAAAAGATAAAAGGAGAGAAAGACAAATGGAAAGATATATGGAGATGGAGGAAACAAAGATTTCCTCTAATGTCCTCCAACCACACCCACACACACAATTCAACCTCTTTCCACAATTAACCCCTCTTTTTTTCCCTTCCATATATGGGGTTTTATCTAAGTACCCCATCCACACTATCCCTCTTGATAAAATGGACCAACTATTCTTCAAAGATTTGATTTTTTTGATGTGGGTTTGAGTTTTCTTGAAATTTTGGGGCTTTTTTTCCTTGGTGGGTATGTGCTAGTGAATTGAGATGAAAAGGTCTGTTGAGGGTTTCAATGGAATTAGTTTTGTTGATGAAGAAGAATCCAAGGTGGAGAAACTAAACCAGAAAAAGCTGTTAAATGAGTTATTAGAACTGCAAAAGGTTTGAACTTTTCTTGATTTTTATGTTTTTGTGAATCCTAATTAGTTTGATTTTAGATTATCTTGTTATACCTTTTTCAGTAATCCCCATTGTGAACTTTTGTGCTGTTTTTATTTGTTACTTTTAAGGGGTTGTTCGGTAGAGTGTATAAGAATAGTACTCAATAGGGTGTATTAGCTGTGGTGGAGCTAGGGATTTGACGAAGGGTGTGCAATTTTCCTCGCAATTGTGTTAAGGGTGTGCAAAATTAAATGTACTCATAATAGCTAACATTTAAGATTGTGCACCAGACCACCCTTCGCCTAAGGTAGCTCCGCCTATATGTAGTAGTAATGCTAGGATTAGTAATGTTGTGATCAGTTATGTTGGGATTATGTCTAGTGGCGGAGCCAAGACTTTTACTAAGGGATCAAAATCTGAAGAAGTGAACACATTAACTAGCCAAAGGGGGTTCGACATTTGCTATATATACATAAAAAATAATTTTAACCACATATAAATAGTATACAAACCCGTTGACTATAAGCTAGCTCCGCCACTGATTATGTCTATCCACTGTTTGGTTTGGTGTATTAAGGGTAGTTTTGTCTTTTGCTTATCCATGTGTATTAGTAGCCCTTGGATTGCTAATACTATGGTTTGGCTATGCATTAGTTATACATAGTTTAATATTGAATAGGCATGTATTAGTTATATATAAGCTAAAAATCCTCCCAAGCAAACAATTAAATAATATCATGACTAATACATGTATTAGATTAGGATTCTGAATTGCTTTTTTCCCCTGTGATTATTGACTGTTCTGTAGATGAAATTGTGTATTCAACTTGATAATTCTGGATGTTAGTTGTATGATGATGGTGTGGCAATTGTGTATAGGATTTTGTCTCCAAGAAGAGGAAGTTGCAGGCTGCAAAGCTGAAGAAAGAAAACATTTTGGGTGAAATCCTGTATGATCATAATTTTCTGAATCCTAAACTAGTTAGATTCTACTATATGAATCCTCTATAGCCATTTCGTTCTGTTTTAGCCCGTTCCATTCCAATACTCGATATTTCTTCTTTCAGACACGTAAGGGGTTTTCAAGAATCGGAGATTCTCTGTATCTCACACTATATGCATATATACAATGACCAAACATTAATCTCAACTAATTGGTATCGCCTATTATGGATACTTTTCTCTTCTCTTAAATGATGTTAAGGGAAAAAAAAAGAATAGAAGAAGAGTACAACAACAACATAACTAGTGTTATTGCACAAGCTATGTTGCTTGGACTCTCAAAAAAGGCTGCCCCATCCATATCGAATTCTCCAAAAGTACACTATTTTTGGAGTATCCAACGCCCATCAATCGTTATTTTTGAAGAGTCTAAGCAATATAGTCCATAAGTGGGGTCTTGGGAGGATAGAGTGTACACAGACCTAACCCTTACCTCGTAGAGATAAAGAGGTTGTTTCTGATAGACCCTCAGCTAAAATAAAGCATTTCAAAGCCGTTTGAAAAAGGGAATACAAAAATGAAAGTAGTAACAACAACGAAATAATGCAAAATTGAGAGTAGCACACAACACATACAGAAGAAGAGTAATGTCCTAACTCCTAATATCATACTTTTTTAATTTCAGATTCTTAAAGCAAAGGCGTAAATACTTATTGAAAAGCCAATCTTCCGATGACGATAATGAAAAGAACATTTCACATTTAAAAGAACACTTCGATGCTGAGAGTGAAGTCCCTAAAGTAGAAAGATCCAACAGTGGCTATGATGCAGTAGTAGAGTCAGCTCATCCTGCCTTCACCTCAAAGTTCAACTCGGTAACATACTACAGTTAAGATATGTCAAAGATTAGAATATTCAATGCTTTAAGAGTTATCTAAGTTTAATTAATTATTCATGTTACAGGAACATCATGAAGTAGGATACGAAGAACTGTTAGCAGGCGGGGACGTGTTGAGAATGGAGTGTGTGCCAAAGAATTACAAAGAAGAAACTCTCCTGGCATGGTCAAGTCACATTGAAGGTCTAAAATTCTGATATATCTTTCTTTTAGGAGAGTGATCTCCATAACTTATCGATATCTTATTCTTGATTCCCTTTTCGCTTTCCTCCTTTGTTGCCTCGGTGAAACACATTAACTTGGAGTATGCAATATCTGAGGTTGTCTAATCTTTTTCTGGGCATAATTTATTAGCCATGTGCTTATAATTTGCAGTTCTGTAGTTTGATAATAGTGGTTTGTGTTTTCAAGTGTCTACGATGTGGCGTGGTACCTTTGCTTTATATGCAGAGGCGGACTTAAGATTCCTAATAATGGAATTCAAAAGAAGTCATACTAAAGTGGTGGTAATGGGATTAGACCACAAAATGTTACTAATGGAATTCAACCATTAGTAATCTTGAACTCAGTATTTCAAGTTGATTTTGGGAGCGTAATTGTGTTTATATTTCCAGATTACAGGTCGCGGATTAGCCTTCGATGTGTTGTTTGTGTCTTTTTTAACTATACTTTGACAGAAAGAATCTTCCCATTGTGTGAGAGTTTTGGGAAGTTACACATGGAAAATGGCTTTTTAGCTCCCACATTTACTCATTTTCCCCACTTTTAAATGCACTAGTTTGATTGACATGGAGTTTTAAGCGCGATATACGTGCATCTGAGGGTGTAGTTTATTGGTCAATGAAGTAGGTGCAACCCTCGGAGATCATGATTCAAATCCAAAAGAGATGAAGATAAATTAGGTGATTTCTTCTTATCTGCCAAAAACTTGGAGGACAGAGTTATCTAGTACTTGTGTTGATGGTTGCTAGAAGCTACACAATGGAACAATCAAGATGTGGCCAAGCAAGCTCGAGCACCACCTTGTATAAGAAAAAATGAGCACTATTTTGCGATGCTATGGAATAAGTAGCTATATGAATCTTCAATGTCCATATTGCTCCATTTAAAGCTTATCCATCTATTTTGAAGATTCAACATAACTTTGACTAGATTTACTCTGAATCTCAAGTTACCACAACCTTTCTCCTCCCTCAGGACTGACAATGTAAGCAAGCTCATACTTGGAAGTTGATTGTCTAAATTTCTGTGACTTATCGTATAGGGTTATCGATTCAGGAATGGCTGCATTGGATTGTACATTTAGTTACTAATACGCTTCACCGCCCTTCATGCTTAAGCATATCATGCTTGTAGTTGTTGTACACACCATTGTAGTGTATATACTTCTCCATATGCAGCATAAGGATACTTATAGAAGGGAATATGGTTCTCAATGTTGAGTGGAAAGAGGGTATTTTAGACTCAGAGGCGAATTCATGATTTAAAGCTTATGAATTCTTATCGCAATGAAAATTGGGTTCAGTCAAATATTTATATGGAATAGCTATTAGATTCTCAGAAACTCGTACATAAAGGTTTAGATCATAATATTTTTTGTTCTATGAAAATTTGTTAGGGTAAAATCGAAAGCTTAAAAATATATTATTGTTTTCCAAAAAATTACGATCACATAAATTGAATCAGAGGAAATATTATTTCTTCACTTCAATAAATAATTCTTACCATAAAATTCATGTGGAACAATTTTCTTTAAAATGAGGAAAATGACTTCAAGTTCTACGAGTGACATTCCATATTTATTGTATCCATTCAACACGCGTCATTTTCACCTTCATCCTTTTAGCCTCATTCCAATTTCCCACCCTCACTCCCAACTCTTCTGCTATTTATCTAGATTATATACAAATATCTTTCTTTGTACCAAACACACCTTGAAAGTATGTAGTTTCCTCATTATGTCATAAAAGTATTTTATTTTTTTATCGAGTCTTGATTTCTTATTTTATCCTCAACATTAATAATTTATTTTCTAAATCATTTTTCAAGATCCAAAGACAATATATCAAATCATCAATATATTTATCCGACGTGTAACATCTTAAGTGAACAAGTGAAAGTGAACGGAAGGAGTGTTATACATTCATTTAGATAGACATTTTTGCTATTGCTATAAACAACAATGTCAATATGTCCGAGTGGTTAAGGAGACAGACTTGAAATCTGTTGGGCTTCGCCCGCGCAGGTTCGAACCCTGCTGTTGACGTTTTTCTTTTTTAAAATTTTGAAAATTAAAAATATTTAAGAAATAAGTCCTTTCGAATTGTGTTTTGATTGAACCATTAGATCTATATCCTGATTTTGGAATCATAGCAGAAAGAATCGTCGAATTTTGAGTTCATATGAAAAAATTATGATCTTTTTATCAAACTCTGCTAATCTATCGACATGCTTACATAATAAGCTAGTAAATCCCTACCTTTTTTTTAAAAAAAAAAGTTCAAATATAATATCCATTGAGACTAATAGTACTAGATCATCCACCATTGATGTATATTGTGATGAGTAATCATGTGTCGATAACGCTTGATTTTTGTGAATAAGAAAATAAATAAGGAGAAGAGAGAAGAATATTTTTTTTTTGAAAGATTAATTTATAATGAAGAAAACTCTTTTATTTATAAGAAAAAACTGACTTGATTCCTAACTAGGATTACTAACAATCAACTCACATAGCAACAATGTAAATTAATACTGTTAATTTACAATTAAATCTAAAGACATCTGCTTCTTTTTTTCCGTACGTAAGCTCAAGTTATAGTCATTTCAATTAGACATATTTTACTATGATATATATTATTTATCTATACTATTAAAATATTACATATTTTACTATTAATGAGAAGTTGTCTACGTATCATACGCTTATGTATATATATGTGCTACCAACTACACAAAAATAAGGAGAGAGGCGAGCGAGATTGGGGAGGGAGGGGAGTAGATTCGAATGCATCCCAGATATATGTGATTCACACTAGACACACACTAGATATATGTATATGTATGTATCTAGGATTCTTATGTATCTGGGATACTAGATAACATGGGAGAGTGGTGAACAAGATGGGAGAGAGGCGAACGAGATTTTGAGGTATTTGGTGGAGTGTATTAGAAGAAAGTCTATTGATATTATTTAGTACATTATGTTTGATAGGACTTTTGGTCCTATGTATAACTAATATTAGTTATACACTCTATTTGATATTATATGGTGCATAACTAAGATCTTACATTTTGGGGTATTAGTAATACATATGATCTAATATCATGAGATTAATATAAATAAACACAAAAATACCCCTCAAATCTTTTTAATCATTTTGTTTATTTTCTTGAATTTATGTTTTATACTTGAACTGGTAAATTTATTTACATAAATTAGCTTACGGATTTTGTTATTTAGAGAGAGTTGTTTGTTGTTAAATAAATTCAATACAATATTTGAAATGTGATTTGCTTAACATTTACTAATTGAAAAGACAAATATATGACCACATGACGTTTGTGATCTTAATTGGATATATTATTTATTGATTGTATTATTAATTTTGTGTGTGTGTGTGTGTGTGGTTTCCTGATTTTTTTTGTATTTTCAACAATTTATTAAATTGCATACATATTAAAACTATAACTTGCAATTTTTATGTGTAAACGTAGATGGTTTATTCGATTTTACTATTGTTTATCATCTTTTCGCTTTTAAAAATAAATTATTTATCTTTTTTAAATTGAAAATTGACATTTTGTGGGTGATCAATTTATTAAGATGACAATTATTTACCCACAAATAAATCAAGTGAAAAAATAACAAACATAATGATAAAATTATTCTTCTCCTAGCTAGTTAGAAGGCCACAAAAAAATAATATTGTCCGGTAGTTATCTACCTTAATCCAATCATAGGAAATAGAAAATCTCATAATAACTCAAGGGTATAATTGAAAAGAAACTTTTTGTAGAGTTTTAAACCGAATACAAGATTAAGTGGGAATCAATGAACCAAACGTTTGATATAAAAATAATCTCTGCATTACTAGTCCATGCGTTACTAATCAATGCATTATTAATCTTTGTACCCAACGACCACTTAGCTTATTATACTCTAATCCTTATCATCTTATCTTCCTTGTTCCTTCCATGAACACCATATTTTTTTCTTTACATTTTGGGCATTTGTTAAACTTAGACATTTATCTCTATCTTATTTTGTTTATTTGATGATATTAGTTCTAACTTTAACTTTATATTAACTTAATTTAATTTTTCTAATGATGAACCAATTTTGTATTATGTTGATTTATTTCAAATGCTTTTCATCTAATGAATTTTTTTTTAAGTAAGCTAGATTGTTCAAAAATAGTTAGATTGTTTCAAGTTAACTTTTTTTCTTAAATGACCTAAGAAATGCTTTTACCTTACTTTAAATTATTATTCAATGTTAGTTAAATATATTTTAATTAAATCGATGTATATATAACCGCATGTTAAAAGACATTTTAAATGCTAAAACCTTCTCAAAATGAAAATATGAACCTCATATTCAATTTCTCTAAATCTTTAAAAGATTTATTTGTTAGAGTCTTTTTAAATTATCTTTTTTTTTCTAAATTTAGTTACTTCAAATAATTATGTAGTGACTCTTTCTAAGTATATTTTCTTTATTGTTTTTTATAGTTAAAATATTTCAAAAGTAATTTTCAAAAGATCATGACACATAACAACCACTGTACACTCAAAAGAAATAATCCTTTTTTTTTTAAATTTTTCACCCCACTAAAAATATCGCTCACATTTCTTCAAAACCTATTTTCTTCATATAGCCTATAATATACCTCACTCTATTCTCTAATATTTTTTTTCTTCTCTATGTTGGTGTACCTACAAATGATATATAACTCACTATTTATAGGCATAAAGCAATTGGCCGGTAGTCAATTTCATAATGAGGAACTTTCACATATAGCCACTCAAAAATAGCCTAATAACTCTTCATAGTTATAGTTAGATAATTACAATTCGTAGTTACATGTTATAGGGAGGAGAGAGGCGAGCGAGACTGGGAGAGAGAGGAGAGAGGCGAGAGAGAGAGAGGGCAAAGAGTGGGAGAAAGGCGAATTGTATATGTATATCAGTTAGATAATTATATATTATACATATGTATTTGTATATATGGCAAGCGAGATTGGGAGAGGGAGGAGAGAGGCGAGCGAGATTGGGAGAGGGAGGAGATAGGCGAGAGAGAGAGGCCAGAGAGTGGGAGAAAGATGAGTTGTATATGTATATCGGTTAGATAATTATATATTGTACATATGTATTTGTATATTCTGGTGAATTATACATATACAAACGTGGCTAATTATACAAACTCGAAGTCAGCCCACGTAATTAATGTATAATGTTTGTCGCGAGTGATAATTATAGCAAACTATAGCTATGATGAGTAATTAAATAGTATAAGTTTGCTTAACCGCGTAATTTTCCCTTTCATAAAACTATGTCCATTTTTCCACCTTGTATTAATTGATCGGCCGGTAACCAATTTCAACAAACGAGTATCCATTTTTCACCTTGAATTAATCAACCTATAGCCAATTTCAATAAACGTATATACCCTTTTAACTTTAATATTTTTTAATTAAAAAAAAGGAAAAAGATCAGTTTATTTTAAAATAAAAAAGATATTATAGACTTTTTAAATTTCTGGCCAAATATTTCTGGCCATTTAGCATTACCCATATTTTATACTATTTTGTGCACTCTCAAAGTTCGGGGGTATAAATGTCAACTGAAACTAAATTAGAGGGCATATTTATGTATTATATCTTTTATAAATGTATTTTCATTTAAACAACATAAACAATGTTAATTAATATGTAGGTACCATATAATTGTTTTACATATGTGATTGTTAATGTAGGGACAACTTGTACATATAAAGACAATACATGCTAATAGCTTCTAATTTTGAATTAATTACTTTTTATATAATTTGGGAGATACAATGTCAGAAATTAAAGACATATCATACCGTACTAATTAAGATGTTTGATTGTTGATGTAGGGACACCGACACACATAAATATAATCGGAGGAGTTTGATTTTTAAAATAAAGTTTGGAAGTGTAAAAATCAATTAGGAAAAAAGGGAGAAAATTATTATATTGCATTAGTAATATACTAGCTTATAAGATCTGAATTAATTACTATTTTTTTTATGTGATACGAAAATAATTATATCGCATAAAATGAGATATGGAGGTGAAATTTAAAATAATGACATATAAATAGAAACGGAGAGAGAGTAATATTTATACTTCTTTGGCAAATGAATTTTACTTCTATAAGAAACAGAGAAAATTTAGAGGTATGGGACAACGTCATGAGGGGTGGGGAGGTTCTTTCTGAAAAAGAGATTTTTC